GGAGGAAGTTAGCTGGCTTGATCAAATCTCCTTGTAAACATATTAATGATAGACCTCTGGAAAGGAAACTGATGGGTATTTACTAGTAAGAGAGTCTTTATCTATGAAAAACTTTTTAGGTGAATATACCTGGTCAGTCTAGAATGGCTGAGCTAAACGCACCTGGAATCTTTGAATTTATGGGGCACAGCTTCCTGGAAAATGACTTGTAAACTGTGCAAATATAAAATTGAGATGTTACATGACGCAAGGTGTTCTTTTTTGCCTTAGTGATGACCATGTACATCGCTTAGAGACCTCATATGTTAAATCTGGGCCAGAGCAAATCCTAATGTGGCAAGAAAGGACTCAGAGAGCAGCTTTCATGGACCAGAATCTGCAGGATTCACCTGTACCTCACGACTACCTGTATTCTCAGAATTGTTACTACCTCGTTGCTGGGCAAGATCTCTAATTCCTGTGAGTCTGATCTGACAATCTGATCCTTTGTGTTATCTCATCTTGAATATCCGACTCTTTTACAGAGTTTATATTTTATTTTCCATAGTTTTTAGACGTATTGCTTTAAGTGAGATAATATTTGTAAAGTCCTTAGTGTCTGATAAAGCACTTAATAGCTATTAGCTTATTATCCTCCTTTTTGTTCTTCAGAAGTGTAGCCTGTCTCAGTTGCAGTAAAGCACTTAATAGCTATTAGCTTATTATCTTCCTTTTTGTTCTTCAGAAGTGTAGCCTGTCTCAGTTACGCTTTTGAAAAAAGGAGGGCATCGTGCGATGATGGCATTTGGGATAGAACTGAAAGAGTCCACAATCTATCGGGAGCTCTTCTCTGCTTATTCCTAGAGAAGTTTCTAAAGGAAGCCCAGAGGAGGCCATGAAGGTCACGAGGGCAAGGTCAGGGCTCACCCAGGCAGGGTGCCCTTTGTCAGCTAATGACTCAGTGTGCAGCACAGATCTCGAGTCTGCAGGCTCAGATGCCTGATTTGTCGGTGCCCTGAGGGAGAAGTCATCTTTTAGGGACAGACTCAGATTAACCAAATTCACAGAGGCTGAAGCGTACAAACTCAAGCATTCATGTATTTCTTAATACGAAAGTTAGAGCTATTAGGACGAATAGACATCCCTGTCCTCTGGCTGGCGCATCATCTACAAGCAGTTTCTTTGGAAAACTAAATTCGAGTCAGAAGTTCACTTGGTGAGCGGGCATTTATTCAAAAAATTTTATTTAGTGACTACTAACAGAGATTTTGGAAAGAGGCTACAACGGTCAACAATATTTACAATGCCCTGCCCATGCAGGAACACATTCCTAGGAAAGAGGAGCCCGGAAACAAGTAAACAACAATTAAAACCAGCGCCAGACAGAGATAAGTCCTATAAAGAAAACAAAACGAGATGAGGAATAGGTTGTCCTTGGTGACAAGGGCTAGGCGTATTAGGGAAGGCTTTCTGAATGACGAGAAAAAGGCAGCCTTTTGAGCCAGGGCTGGGGAAGTAGCAGGGACAAAGGTCCTGAGGCAGAGTTTGGCAAGTTTAGGGAGCAGAGGGAAGGCCTCTGTGGATATAAGAAAATAAGTGAGGGACAGATGGGTGGGGGACAAAATAGAGAAGGAAAGTGGAGGTCAGTTCTCATAGGGCTTCCAGGGTTATCATGATGAGTTAGGGCACTGTCCTGCATGCAGTTTGAAGCAACTGGATGATTTCAGGCATGGGAGCGACTTCGTAAACGATCACGTGGCAGCTGGGTGGATGGGAAGCCAGAGCGGAAGCAGTGAGAACAGTTAAAAGGTCGATGACTGCAATAGTCTCGATGGGCAACGATGGGGCTTGGAGTAAGAGCCATGGTGAAGACAAAAAGATTCAAAAACATTTTGTGGGGTGCGACGGATGAGGATCCTGGACTGGATATAGAGGAAAGGAAAGAATCAAGAACGCCTGCGAGGTTTGGGGAATCAGAAAAAGGGCATTAATGATGCATGATTTGAATAGTTTAGATATCTGGCTGCATTAGTCTACTGAATTCCTCTCTCTTCCTGACTCCCAAACCAGAGAGATGGGTGAGGACTCTCCTCTTCCGGGCACTGTGTGGGTGGAGGGTCCCTGCTGATGCATCCATCCAGTTCATTCGGCCAGAATTTATTAAGCACTGCCTGCACGGCTAGAACTGTTTCAGGTCCCGGGACTGTAACAGTGGGGAAATAATAACATCAAATATCAACAGTTTGTTGAGAGGGTTTGTGCTCTGTGGAAGTTGTTCCCCATCCCTCTCTTCTCCTCTTTCCTCTCTCTCCAGCCTCTCCCCTCTGCTATAAAGCTTCCTGTGGGTCCTCTCTCTGCCAGCCCACCCTCCTACCCGAACTCTCCACCTCCACCCCTGCTCCACAGTGGGGCAGAGCCTCAGCAGTCCTACACACTCAGTTTCCCCAAACAGTCTCTTTGGTTCCTCCCCCACCTCCAGCTATGGACATTTGGCTCTCTGGACTCTTCCCGATCTAGCGTGCCAAACCAAAGTTCAATCAATCACCTTGCAGCTGAGGTGAGGCTGGATTTCCTCCAGACAGAATGTAGGGGCTGAGCTGAGAGAATGCAGGCAGCAGCAGGGATTGCCATGAGTTCAGTTGCAACCAAGGGAATCCTTCTAAAATACCTTTACCTCTGTGCCCATAAAAAGCCAGCCTCTCTCTCATTATCTCCTACATCACATCAGAGCAGTGACAGCTACTGACCAGACCTCCACTCTTATTTGTAGAAATGTCCCCTCCCTGACATTTGCTTTCTCCCCTCTCTACATATAACCAACCATTTTATATTTGTACAACATTTTGCAAGTTAAAACATGCTTTACCTATTTGACAAGATCTCATTTCATCTTTTAACAACCCTGGGAAAGCAAACAGTGTAGATATAAAAATATCATTTAAACATGTGACTGGCTTGTCTAAGACCACAGAGCCTATCTATCAGTCCAGTGGTATTTTTACTGTCATGTTACCCTTTCGCTCGAAGCTTTTTAAAGAGCACCTTCTTAGTAATCCCCACACTTCTATGATTATACACCTATCTGCTGTATCTAGATAAAGGAAATGCCCATGATCTGAAGGCTTGTTGCCCACACTCACTTTTCTCAGAGATTCCTGGAAACTGTCTGCTCAAGTGGATGCAAGTTTCCCGTAGGAAAACGTAATCTCTGAGAGTTTTATTACTAACCAATAACCCAGTATCAACTGAATCATAGATTAGAACCAGAGTGTGTTGAAAAAGCAGTGCTCGGTCAACTAGAAACTTCTAAACTAATGTGATTTGCTACTTAAAATGGTAACTACTGGAATTTAGAGTTAGGAGGAAACTAAGAGGTCATCTAAGGCAGCTCGTATTTCCTGCAGATAAGGACCTTAGACCCAGAGAGATGAGACGAATCCCACAAGTCCATCTATGTATCTAAGCAAGGCAGGGCCTGGGGCCAGAAGGGAGCTTCTGCTTCCTGCCTGGGGCTCTTTCCATCACTCTACTCACCTTCTGAATGAAAGGCCACACACACTGATAGTGGGAAGAACTCCACTGTAGGTGAGGTTTGTTGCTGTTGTTGTTTTTTTCTTGTTTCAACTCCTGGTTCTTTCAAAACCTGAGAGATAAATTACATACAGAGGTATTAAGGGAAGAGTTGGATGGGTTTTGACAAATGTATACACCTAAAAGACATATCTGGGAGTGGAGCTGATGGGTAATAGGGTAGATACATATTTAATTTTATAAGCAACTGCCAAGAAGTTTTTCAAAGTGGCTGTACTACCCGCGATTTATGAGAGTTCCAGTTTCTCGGCATCCTCACCACCACTTGAATGCTCAGTCTTTTAAATTGCAACCATTCTGGCAGATGTGTGATGCTAACTCATTATGGTTTTATTTTATATACCCCTGATGACTAATGATGTTGTATATGTTTTTATGACCAACGTCCTATTAAGTATATGTAGGATAATTTATAAATTCAACCAAATGAATAAACAAGCTAAAGAGTGATTATTTTGTTAGTCCTCTTAGAATTACGTGCTTCCACAGGGAAATTTGGATATCCTGGAGGTTTTTTTCCCCCTCATACACTCTGATGCTTTTCTTTTTTCTTTTCGTAAACTCCGATGGTTCCTTCTTTCAACAAATTACTTGTGGCAAACAGATATATTCAGAAGTATGCCATTAGTGATTCTTTCTAAAGTAGTTGTTCCAGCAATTAAATATTTAATGATTTCAGTAAGGACATTAGTTATAAAAATTTAAGAGGGGCAGCAATGGAGTACAGGAAGAAGTGTGGCCTTTGAAGTCATAGAGAATTAGATTTCAGTCCTGGTTCAGGTTCTTATAAGTTTCAGTTTTCTCCCCTATAAAATAGAGACAAAAATACCTACTGTACTAGTTTTTTTATCGATGTGTTAATAAATTACTACAAACATGGTAGCTTAAAACAAACAAATTTACTTTACAGTTCTGGAAGTCAGAAGTTCAAAATGGGTCTCACTGGGCCCAAATCAAGACGGCATCAGGGCTGTATTCCCACTGCGTTTCTTTGCCTTTTCCAGCTTCCGGTGGCTCCCCCACGTTCCTTGGCTGGGGGCCCCTTCCGTCTTCAAAGCAGAAATGGCAGGTCGAGTCCTTCTAACATCACATCCCTGACTCTGCTTCCACGGCCACATCGCCTTCTCTGATTCTCCCACCTTCTTTTACTTTAATAAAGGTCCTGCGTGGATACGGGGCTCGTGTGGATAACCCAGGAAATCTCCCCATCTCAAGGTCCTTAACTCAATCACATACGCAAAGTCCCTTTCACCACAGACGGAACATGGTCCTGGGTTCCGAGGATTAGGACGGAGACAACTGAAGGAGGCCGCTATTATTATTCTGTGAACTATACCTACTTTTCAAGGTTGTTGCAAAGATGAAAAGGAGAGATATGTAGAAGATCGGGCTCGTGAAGACTGTTCGATAATGAAAGACCATGTTCAAAGCGGGGCCAAGTTCAGCACGCAAGGCCTAAGGCATGACTAAGGCTCAAATGATTTCTGTTCCCTTCCCTTCCTCCCTGGGAGAATCTGAAGAGCACTGGTCTCCTGAATCTCATTCTCTTGCCAGTCTGCTCTCTGCTGTTTACAGCAGTGAGGTAGCCTTGGCCAGAGAAAAGAGGTCCAGATGGGAGATTAGAGTGGTCGAGAGGAGAGAAACAATCAAACTACTTTCCTTTGGGGTGATAAGGAGCCTTTATCGTGGGCATTTGTGGTTTAACAAGTGTTTTCCCAGCTCAGGGATGGGGGAGCCCAACTGACCACAGTCACAGTAACCGAGCAGCACTTCTCTGACTTACGCCCGTAACCCTCACCCCCCACCCGCACAAGAGCCTTCTGGTTCCAGCAGAGACCTGGGGCAACTCCCGAGCTATTCTTGTGGCAGACTGTGTTTCTAACTGCTGCTTCCCGCAGAAGGTCCCGTCTGGGTTCTCCAGCACGCTGCACCTTCCTCCCTCCCCTGCTGATGTGCTGGAAGCGTCCAAGAAGCCTGTGACACTAGGGCCAAGTCCTGAGCCAGGACACTGTCAGGCCCGACACACCTGACCTTCTCCAGGTCACCACTCTGTCATCTGCTCTGGGCCCGCGGACTGGGCACACACTTTTACCGCTACCATCCCCATGCCAGTTCTGTAGGATTATGTGGCCCACCAAGGCCTGGTCTCCACTGAAGCCACCAAAGCTGTGCCTCACTATCGTCCCTGCCTCCACTTCCTCCGAGCACACTGCACAAGTCTCAAGAGCACCATTCTTACCATTGTCATTTGTATATGTGCGTGTCTATTACAACAACTATCCAACACATAGTCTAGAGCCTCGAGAAAGGGACCCCTTTTCTAATTCACAAAAAGGTGCCATAAGGAGTAGCAGCACTGCCCCTACCATGGAGGGGCCTCGAGAGCTTGTTGTCCTCGTGGCACATGGGAGGCAGATTCTGCCCTGCGGACCCTGTAGTCTCAGCCCCTGATGTCATCCCCAGCACGAAGGAGCCGGAGGCAAGTGCTGGCATCGCTGAGCACAAAGAAACCCAGCATGTTCGCTCATCCAGGCGAAACGACAGAGGGACCCCTGCTGGGCAGCAGGTGCCTCCACGTTCTGACTCCCTTTTCGTCCCTGGCACCTCTAGAAGAGAAGGTCTCTCTCATTCACTGCAGCACTATTGACAATAGCCAAGGTATGAAAGCAATCTAGGTGCCCATCGATAGAGGAATGGATAAAGAAGTTGTGGTGTACACATACAATGGAATATTACTCAGCCATAAAAAAGGAATGAAATCCTGTCATTTGGGACAACGTAGATGGACCTAGAGGGTATTATGCGAGGCAAAATGAGCCAGACAGAGAAAGACATATACATTGTGATTTGACTTATATGTGGAATTTTAAAAAGTCAAAACAAATGAATAAACCAAACAAAATAAAAACAGACTCTTAGAGACAAAGAACAAACTGATGCTTGCCAGAGAGGAAGTGGGTGGAGAGAAGGGAGAAAAAAGTGAGGGGGAATATAGTCGAAATAGTGTGATAATTTGTACAGTGCCAGATGGTTACTAGACTGAGTGTGGGGAGCACATTGTAAGCTATGTAAATTTCAAATCACTAAATTATACACCTGGAAAAGTAATATAACATTGTATGCCGACTGTACTTGAATTAATTTTTTTTTAATTTTTAAAAATTAAAAAAAAAAACTAAAAAAGGCAACCCTTAGTTGATTGCAAGAGGGATGAAGCCTCCCATGTTCCCTTTCTACCCTGCCCCCAGGTGCTACCCCACAGATGTATTGGGGTCGGGGCTTGATTTCATTTTCCTAGGTAGCAGCAGCCTCTCCTTTTCTGACTCTGTGACTCCGTGAAGGCATCGCAAACAAGGGGGTTCCTGAACGGGCCTCGAAGAGCAACATTCGAGGTGCCTATCGGATGGCTTTGGATGTACTCGGCGTGTAATGAGAGGCGTGAGGAAGTGCAGCCTGCCTGTTCTTACAGAATGAGTCACGCTGAGCAGAGTGTGTGAAATATTAAATAGCACGGCCCAGAGCACTCTGCTAGCTTAAAGGCCAGTCACTGCCACGGGAAGCGGGGACTGTGCTGTGAGGAGTGACCGGAACTCACAGACCCTCCGGCTCGGGCAAATGTCAAGAGAGTCACCACAGAGAGAACAAGTTATCAGTCGCCAATTATATCAATTAGTGGCTGCACAGGTTGGTGGAACAGTGACACCAGAGAAAGAGATGATTTCTCTGTGGGGAATGAGCTGGTTAGTGGCTGACAAAGAAATTAATAATGGAATTAATGATGAAATTAATGATCCACTGGCCATGAGTGGCAGTTCAACAAACATCAACAAAGAGACTCCTGCAATGGAAAAACCTCTAGACTCTCTTCTTCCTTTCTTCCCAAGACGATGAGGTGCTGAGGGCGCACACATGCACACACGTGCATGTGCACAATCACCCATGTTCGATGAAAGTGAGAATTCTATGAAATGTTTCAGTTTTCTTATGCCACATACACTGCTGCCAGAAAGCAGTTTTAGGAAGATTCATGTGTTCTCCATTTTTTAGCTTTTTTCTCTGAAATGCAGCAAGTCTTAACTGCTTTCCAAACATTGCTGTCTGGAAAGATGAATAGCTTGAACAGTGATAGACAGAATAGAAGTAGAATAATAATCGTAATGATGTAATAATATCATCTAACTTTCTGTACTTTAAAATCTCTCCTTTATATTATTCCATCCGAGGCTATCAATATTAGGTGCTATGGAGAAAAACAAGTAAAAGTGATGGCAAAGTACTTTGTAAATAATTAAATACTGATCATTCATCCTGGTAGTGTTCCAAAGGAAAATGGCCTGAGGTGATTTTAAGAGCTTTCGCCATAAATAAGTCACCATATTAACATCAGTCCTCCCTTTAAGTTGTTGTTCTGCCTTTTAAAAATGTTGCTGGGCTGAAGGGAGCAGAGCAAAGGTTTCAAGACAGGTGGATAAAATGGGCTTGTAACAGTCTCCTCAGGCAGCAACTGAGCGCGATATTAACATTTAATTGCACCAACTCCTCCACCACGTCATTTTAGGACGTGGGGTTTTTTCCTTCATCTTTTAGCCAATATGCAAAGTCATGTTTCTCCTGGGGAGCCCCCTCCACCCTGACCCCACCTCATACCATCTCTCCCCTGGCAGGAAATGTCACCCAAGAGATTTTTTCTTCCCTATCCTTTTAACAACTGTGATAATTAGCATATAGTCTAAAGGTTAAACACCACCTAAATTTTGATTTAGTTGCTTTCCGAAAGAACAAGCCAGGCACAGTTGTTAATTTTTGTTGCTTGCCTTCTGGCTCTGAGTTAAGAATACCTTACTTTACAGTTACAATTTGGCAGGTTAGTGGTGACTTTCAACGAGTACAAGTAGGTTGCCTGTCGCTTTGCTTTTTGGCTTGATGTTGCCAAAAAAAAAAAAAAAACAACCAACTGACAGTTATGTAATAAGGGTCAAGTCCCCCTCCCCCAAGGAACGCCCCATTTTTAGGTAGGAAATGGGCCGAGTCTTGAGTCTGAGAAGCAAGAAG